CACAGTATAGAAATATATAAGAATGTATGAAGAAATATAAATAAATATATATATACACAATAACAGCAGCTGTACAAGTATTAACTGGAAATGAGGAATATAATGTCCAGTGTTGTGCAATCCACATTATTTAGTGTCTTGTGCAGTGCAAATATGCTTAAAGTGATTTAATTTAGCAATTTAGCAGCGGCACATGTAAGTGTTTCCCAGCAGGAAACTGTTCTTGTGCGGCGCAAACAGTAGAAAAGAATAGATGTAAGAGTGCAGCGGTGCGTTGAAGGCTCTTTAGAGGAACTGTGACTTTTGGCACTTCCACATTGGCTCCATTTCTTTGCTCGGGGTTGAGCCTTCAGTGGAACTAAAATGAATCAGTGTGTTGTTTTGTTTCTTTTTTCAACATCAGCGAAAAAGTTCAGAAGATCTGAACTAGTTAAGTTTCATTTCAGTTTCCAAAGTGCTTTATTTACTCAGGAGAGCTCGTTTCTCACTTACAAGCTGTAAACTGATGGTCCATGTCCCAGTGTATCAGCTCTGCAGTGGTTTCAGTGCGAGAGCAAGCAGTGCAACATAAAGAATATTTGATTTGTGGCTGCATTAGTAACCGCATCACATTATACACGAGTTTTTTAAAATCTATTTTTTTGTTTGTTTTTCATAAGTGATCAGAGCAATAATGCTGTTGAGATCTTTACATTTAAATCAGTTCGAGTGAGTTCACAGTGCTGTACTGCAAATGACAACTTCACACGATCTCTTTGTTCAGTCTGATTCCAAAGAAGCAGAAATAAATGCAACAGCGAGCAAAAAAAAGTTGAAGTCAGTGATTTTTAATTCCTCGTTTTCGATTGTGTTGACTCTGTTCGTCTCTCCTGCCAGAGAAAACCTGCCTAGTCGCTTTAAGTTTAAAGAGTATTGCCCCATGGTGTTCAGAAACCTGAGGGAGAGGTTCTGCATCGATGACCAGGACTACCAGGTGAGACCTCAGACACTGACGCACAAGCAGAAATGTTCATTAGCTCTCACAGGAGCTTTAATCCACCTTGTTGCGTTCGGTTTGGCAGAACTCTCTGACCAGGAGCGCCCCGCTCAACAGCGACACCCAGGGCCGCTTCGGCAACCGCATCCTGTCCAGCTACGACCACCGCTTCGTCATCAAAACCGTGTCCAGCGAGGACATCGCTGAGATGCACAACATCCTAAAGAAATATCACCAGGTAGAGGCACCGCTGCGAGGAACTGCAGAGCCAGACTTTTATTGTGATACATTATCCTAATATCGAAACGTGAGGAGAAAAATTCAGGAGCATCAGTTTGTCAAATAATTTCTAATCTAGATTTTAATCTAAAGATAAAGAGAACCTGTTATTAATTTATTTTCTGTCCATGTATTGTTACAGAAACGGTCGAGGTTTTAAATAACGAGGTCGGCGTTTGTACAAGTAATCCCTGTGATTATTTAGGCGGCTCTCGCTAAGCCACAGATAATACGCACAGTAAAATGCAGTCATATACGCACGGACAGAAGATTAAAAACCAATAATTCAAACATGTTGTAAAACAATTGGCTTGTCAGTTTAAAGCCAGGCAGGGCTGAAGCCTGTTGTCAAAAAATCTGGTGTGACTCAGTGGTGACGAATAAAAGAAGAATAACACAACAAATTAGGTGAAACGTCCAGCTTCGCTTTTTACCCCTCGGCCGTAAAAGGCTGACGGATTATTGCCGTCTCCCTGCAAGGCGGGCGGAGTGGATGCAGGTGTGTGAACGGAAGAACTCGAGAATGAAGCGACGTAGGAGTTTCAAATTGATAGCACAGGTGTTTATAGACTCCGGGAGTATTTATTTTTTATGACGTCATAGAGAATCTAAAAGTTTAGGGACATATCAGCCCCAGCAGATCAGGAGGAAATTAAGCATGAAGTAGGAGGAGCTAAAACGGATTGCTTGGATCTGCAGCATGGCCATAAGATAAAGAAGGATTATTCTGAGCTGTGAATTGTGCAAAGCTAGCTTAGCAAAGTCCAAGAATAAATGCGCGACGCTGGAAATGAGCAGAATAATTCCCGTCCCAACACGGGAAAGTGTTGCCTTTTAAAGTTAGACACAGAAACGAAGCTGCGCTCACTTTTAATCAGCTTGTATTCTGCGTGCATTCGATTCCTCACCCCCACACTTCCTGTTTCTCTCTGCGCTCGCCTCCCCTGGCCATCTCCAGTTTATAGTGGAGTGTCATGGCAACACGCTGCTCCCTCAGTTCCTGGGCATGTACAGGCTAACGGTGGACGGGGTGGAGACGTACATGGTGGTGACCCGGAATGTATTCAGCCATCGGCTCACCGTACACCGCAAATACGACCTGAAGGTAGGTAGGCTGGCTACGCCGCACATGCACACGAGTCATCCTTTTAGAGTGCTTTATGTAGCATCCCTGGCTGAATGATGGTCTCTTATACTAATGCTTCACAGAGGTTTTATTGGAAATGTTTTTATTGAAAGATTCAGTGAAGACACCGTCAGAGCTAGGAGCAAAACAAAACCAGCAATATTAATATTAATAACATCAAAGGAAACAAATTTCTCCTGCTCACATATAGCATATACGTCAAATTTACATCACTCAATTCATTATATCACCTCACTAACTTACAACTACACATAAAGGTCAAGGTCAAGGTTAACAACATAAACTCTATTAAACAACATTTTGATTGCATGTAACTTATTCCGTTAAAGGAAACCTTAACAAACCTTGTGCCACTGTCAGCCAGGTACTAATTGGCAGAGGAAACGTACATATTTTTCACTTTAAGGCACACTATTTACCATATCCTAAAAGAAACGTTACTAACAGCCCTTGAACGGTTTTGCGCCTTTCAAAATAAAAGCATGGATTTCAAAATAAAACCGAAGTACCTTTCAAACAAACGTAAAAATATCTACCAAATTTAAAGGTCATTTACACTTTACGCCACATTTACGGTCTCACATACAATCATGAAATTCAGTTTCATAATTTAGCTTTCATTTTTTTTTAAACTTGAGGGTTATTTAACAATATCTGTTAATTTAACCACTTGTGGTAAATGGACCGGTTCTTGTAAAGTGCGTTTCTACTCTGAGCACTCAAAGTGCTTTTTACAACAGGCCTCATTCACCCATTCATACAAGCTTTTTTCTATGCTTAAGTATTTTCTGCTTGTTAGTATGTTGCCCAAGGATATTTGGCATACAGACGGGAGCATCGGAGATCAAAACGCCAGGCTTCTAATTAGTAGATGACCTGCTCTACCTCCTGAACTTTTTTCTTTCTCTTTTGCAGTAAAATATTTTTACACCCCCACTAATAAATTAATTTCATATAGCTAGGAGTCTCCTGGGAACGAAAGCACTGTTTGTTCCATGCTCGTGATTATACTGGTATGAAATGCCTTTCCCTCCCCACACACAGCAGATTCTTTGACCAACACATGCTGGGTTAAAGAGATAAACGAGTGTCTCTGCAAATACACAGGAGACCCATCTCATTTCAAATCAGACCAACAGCGAGGAACACCTCCCCCCCGATTCATGACAAATTCTCAACTCACTATAAAAGCAGTATAAAAATATAAAACTATTGTGTCCAAAGTGTTGTTGAGATGCTGAGATGAAGCTACAGTGAGGGAGATTAAGTGTAATGTTTAACTGATAATGCTGTTTTGATTAGCAATCCTGCCGCCGATCATTGTTCATTAGCGCAGCCCTGAACGATGAAGGCCATGACAAAGAGCTGAAACACTTCAACGCAGTTCAGTTGTCTTTATAACTTCTGCTGTTGCCATCTTGGTGTTTTGAAACCGGATGTGAGAGCGAAAGGTCCATCTGAGAAACTGCACAATCATCGATTAGTGGCTTGTGACTAACAGTGAAGCCATTAAGAATACCCCAGATAATCTTTTTTGGCTCTTAAAATGACAAAAGCTTAGTAAAATGGAATTAATGATCTGCTGAATAAGACTTAATCACATAAACTCGGGAAGGATTTTTACTGAAGTCACAGAGAAAGGAGGCTGTGGGACTTTTTACCATCCACTTCCACACAAGCTGGAGTCTATTTGGAACCAAGTATCGCCCCCTGGTGGCCAGTAAAAATGGCACGGTGTCTTCATCTTCTACTCACTTGTCTGTGGGTACAATAAATATCTAAAAAACAATAAAGGATTCATCACAATCTGTGCAAAGGTGAAGAAATAATTGATAATTTTTCTTTTAAGGAAGTATTTTTTAATTGAAGGCCATAATTTATAAACTTTAGAAATAAATGTAATTTTAAAACATCCAGTTTCTGTTGCTTTTGGCTTTTCTGTAACTATTAACCAGACAGATCCCTCGATATTTGCATCCCTGATTGCTACCCAAGGATTGAACTAGGTCTGCATGAAGATGACTAGCTCACTTCTTTAATCGGTGCTTATCGGCACACACCTCCTTGCATGCCGGTATCCTCAGGAGAAAGCATCTTTGTGTTTCTAATACTGACAGCTGAGTGCAAACAGGGAATATGCTAATGCTTCCTCTGATGTGACTCGCTCACTCTATTTTTATTCTTATTTTGCATCTTTTCTAGGGTTCGACAGTCTCAAGGGAAGCCAGCGACAAGGAGAAGGTGGGCTTTATTTCTGTGCATTGATGTCTGCTGACACGATGGGATAAAAATAGACGGCCTTAGCTCGCCCCACAAGCAAACCTGTCACACTGCTGCTAAAATTAAGTACTTGTATGTAAGCAGATGCTGTCAGCATGATTTGACTTAAATTTGTGTATTTTCTCTGTCACATGGATGAATGTGAATGTTATGAATATGAATGTTAACACCAGTGCACGCTGAAAGTCAGCAGCCGATGATGTAGGTGGGCCCCGGCACCTCTGAGTTTTTCATTAGCATTTAAAAACAGGTTCGGTTTGAATATAAAACACGGCTCCTTGCTGCAGCTTCATAACACCACCCCCTCTTCTCTTCAGGCGAAAGAGCTCCCCACTTTCAAAGACAACGACTTCTTGAATGAAGGCCACAAGCTGCAGATAGGAGACGACAACAAAAAGTACTTTTTGGAAAAGCTAAAACGGGATGTGGAGGTAAAAACACACATTCAGGCTTTCATTGTTCCTGCTCTGGAATGAAACCGTTTCACCCAGCATGAATACTGAGATTGTTTTTGTTAACAGGCTCCCTGCGCTAAAACGTTACGCATGAGTAAGCCTAAATATAATTTATTTTATTGATTCGTTTATGTAAAGTCTGAACTCCAGTTTGGATCTTTTCTGTTAATGCGCTCTCATTTTAGCTTGTAGCACTCAGATTCAGGCTCTACAGTTAGCGTGTTAAATGCACAAGTTCGTGACAGGATCATCAGGAAGAGACAGAACAAGTGTGGTTTGTTTCGAAGGGTTGCCTAGAGGAAGGTTCTGATGCTCTGTCAGCGTGGTGGTGCAGGGGTGATCATTTGGTCTTGTTTTACAGCCGCAGCACATGAGCACCATGCAGTCATTGAGTGGTCCGTGAACTCTGTATACCAAAGTATTCTAGAGTCATTGTGACAGGACAGTGATGCTCAGCAGAGCAGCAAATCTACATCAGAATGATGACGGGGCCACTAGAACTTTTTTTATTAAGCACACCTCAGTCTGGTTGAAATGCTGCACAAAGAGAAGAGAGCTGTAGCTAAAGAAACGATGTCAGAGACGGATACAGCCATACAGAAAACTCTTACTTCAGCTTATTGTTGCTAAAAGTGGTTCATGAGGTGTATTTAATTTTCCACATGACTGCATAAAGCCTGACGAAGACTTTTATTTTCCCTTGGCTACAACATGTATTTCTAAAGATAAAAAACTAAAAGTTCAAATCAGCCTCCTCCTGGTATAATCAGTAAATGTTTCTTTCTACGCTCGTTTCTAGGGATGGGTATTGTTTAGGTTTTATCCGATACCGGTGCCAAACCGGTACTTTTGAAA